CAGCCACGCCTTGGTGGCCGGCATCGACCGGTACCCACGGAAGGTGACTGCCGCCATGGGCAAGAAGAAGATCGCCAAGAGGTCCAAAATCAAGTCCTTTGTCAAGGTTTACAACTACAACCACCTGATGCCCACCCGGTGAGTGGCTGCTGGGGGGGAGGGCACTCAGGTGCTTCCTGCGATGGCTGCCGGGAGTCCCCGACGGTCTCAGTAACACAGCTGGGCGAGTGCGGGGAGCTCATGCAGGGACCCGGGGTGTACAGCCGAGGGAAAACAGGAGTGAACTTCTGAAACGGGGCTGGCTCTTTCTCTGCCCTTGTTCGCTTTGCTCCTGACCCGGGGTGTCAGCAGCTGAGCCGTTGAGACGACCGTGAGGGTCTGGGGCACTGGCAGAGCTGTGGCGGCCCAGGGACGTCTCTTCCCATCCCCTGGCAGCTCCCACGGGTGCAGCTGCCAAACGCAGCCCACAGGGTAGGGCCATGGGTCTCCTGTGGAGCGCACAGCTGTCTCTGTGTAGGCTGAATTAAATGTCTTGGGTGCTGTGGTCCTGATCTGGGAGAGCTGCAGTCCCTCAGCCTGGTGCCTGTGTCTGACCAGTCCGGACTGCCTCTCTGCGTCCATCCCTGTTCCTGGGGACCGCAGCTCATCCAGACCTTAATGCTCTGTTGCGCAGGTACTCTGTCGATATCCCTCTGGACAAAACAGTGGTCAATAAGGACGTGTTCAGGGACCCCGCTCTGAAGCGCAAAGCAAGACGTGAAGCCAAGGTCAAGTTTGAGGAAAGGTGAGCTGGAAGCTCCTCTCTGCAGTGTCGGTGCCTGTCCCCAGGGTGAGGGCTGGGAGGGCCCCAGGGTGGAAGCTCATGCCCTGGCCCTCCCTGGACGTGTTTTGGACCGAGCGCGTTCCTCCGTAGGCTCCGTGTGTGCACGCGGTTGTCAGGGAGCTGGGCAGCAGAGATAGGGGTGGTTCACCAACAGTCATGGGCTCAGGGTGATGTTTGTGATGATGCTGTGGCTTCCTGTCAGTGCAAGTGGAGCTTCCCAGTGACGATGTCCTGGCGTCTCCCTGCCAGCTCACCCGCGGTGGGACAGGGGTTGGCTGGGCACTGCCGGTGGGAGCACGAGGACAGTTTGGCTGCAGGTCGCACACCGTCACTGCTGGTGCAGAGCGCTCTGACCCTGTGTTCCTCCTCGCAGGTACAAGACGGGCAAGAACAAGTGGTTCTTCCAGAAGCTGCGGTTCTAGAGGTGCAACAGTGATCCATCAATAAATGTTTATTAAAACCCCGTTTGTTTTGTTGTATAAAATAGCATTCTGTGGTGTGGGGGGTGTTGCTTGGTGTGGCCATAAGAGTGGGGAAAGCTGTCCTGGTGCGGGAGAGCTCTGAGTGGCCTGAACTGAGGGTGAAAGTGAGGGGGCTGTACTGCGCTGTGGGGCTGTCCCTGGTCCCTCCTGCTCCCCTGGGAGATGGA